TGGATCTCGCTCTGTAGACCAGGCTGGCCTCGAACTCACAGAGATCCAACTGGCTCTACTTCCCGAGTGCTGGGATTAAAGGCGTGTGCCACCAGTGCCCAGCCACTGGCCCACTTTTGAGAAAGGTGAATGTATATAAAAATTAAGAATAGGGGCTGGAGAGATGGCTCAGTATTTAAGAGCAGAGACTGCTTGTGACCTGAGTTCAATTCCCAGCACCCACATGGCAGCTCACAACTCTGTTAATTCCAGTTCCAAGGGACTCGACACCCATGGCAAAACACCAATGCACATAAAATAAAAATTACCGGAAGAAAGGACAAAATAGTAAAAGTGCTCTTTACTAAGTTGAGTTATGTAATCTTATAAAACAAATGCTATGCAGAATATGGTGGCAGCTTTAATCCTAGTACTCAAGAGGCAGGCAGGATCTCGAGTTCAAGGCCAGCCTGGTCTATGGATTGAGTTCCAGGACAACCAGAGCTACACTAAGAAACTGTCTCAAAAAACAAAAATCAAGCTAAGTGGTTACATAAAACACCCAAGAAAAGACCCAGAAAGCAAGAGCTAGAGCTGTACTGTACTTGGATGGCAGAACTCATGATAAACTTGCACCACAGGAAGCTGAAGTTGGAGAATCACAAACCTGAGGCAGGGTCTCACAAAGCCTGGAGTGGCCTTTAACTTGCTAGCTGAGGGTGGCTTTGACCTGATCCTCTTCCTCTTGCTTCCCTACTGCTGGGATTACAGGCCAGCACCACCATAGCAGGTTTATTCCCTGATGGGGATAAAATAGGACTCCATGCATGGTAGATGAGAATTCTACCAACTGAGCCATATCCACAACTTTGAAATTGACCTGATTATTAAGAAAATGAAATAATACATTACAGACAAGAACACAGTACTTTGTATGCTTGTTTGTTGAAACTCTTTTTAATGTGTGTACAGACAGGATCAAGAGTCTGGTACGGTGGGTCGTGCCAGTAACCTCATCACTTGAGAGACTGAGGCAGGAGGATTGTTTCAAGTCAAGGCCAAACTGGGCTATGTAATGAGTTGACAACATGAACAACAGAGACTTTGTTTTAAAAAGGGGTAGAGTGGGGGGTGGGGATGGGGGCTAGAGAGATGGCTCAGCAGTTAAGAGCACTGACTGCTCTTCCAGAGGACCAGAGTTCAATTCTCAGGACGCACATGGCAGCTCACAATATTTTTTTTTTTTAAATCAGTGTAAAAATCTATAAAGAAACAATGTTAAGTGCCTGAAATATTCCAAAAGAATGTCAACATTGGAAGCATAGTGGTGTATGCCTTTACTTCCAGCACTTGGGAGGCAAAGGCAGGGAGATCTCTGTGAGTTTGAGGTCAGCCTGGTCTACAGAGAGTTCCAGCACATCCAGGGCTGACACACACACACACACACACACACACACACACACACACACACACACACACACGTAAAAAGAAAAGAGAAAAAAAGGAAGGAGCCCATGTCCGGTAAATAAAAAGAGCTATCCAAGGCAGGGCTACATCTCCAGCCCCTTATTTGTCATTTTCTAGCAAGCCACAGATGTAATCAATCCTGTTTATTTATGAGACATGGTCTAACTATATAGCCCTTGCTGGCCAGAAATTCACAAAGCAGACACAGCTGACCTTGAATTCAAAGATTAGCCTGCCTCTGCCACCACAAGTGGAATAATCCTATGTTTACACTCCAAGAAATAGTAAAATTTTCCTTTTTATGCCAAGACACAAAGGCTGATCTATACCAGTGGAAAAACAGGATTGTGATCCATCTTTTTTTTTTTTTTTTTCGAGACAGGGTTTCTCTGTGTAGCTTTGCGCCTTTTCCTGGCACTCACTTTGGAGACCAGGCTGGCCTCGAACTCACAGAGATCCGCCTGGCTCTGCCTCCCGAGTGCTGGGATTAAAGGTGTTCGCCACCACCGCTCGGCTGTGATCCATCGATTAAAGACTACTCCCTAACACCTCATCTCCTCCACACTGTTAATATCAATCTAAAATATCTGAAAATAATAAATTCTAGCATCAGTCATTTTATATTGAGACTTTATTTTTCATTTTTGGTACTGTTTTAAAGTTGAAACATTTAAAAAAAAAAAGAAAGAAAGAAAGAAAAGAAAAGACAGAGCAACAGTGGTACACACCCCTGGTTCCAGCACTCAGGAGGCAGAGGCAGGGGGTTCTCTGAGTTCAAGGCCAGTACAGTCTACTCCAGTATGGTCTACCAAGTTCCAGGACAGGCATGGCCACACAGAGAAACCTTGTCCTGAACCCAGCGCCCCCACCACCACCCCAAACTGTATCTAAGTAGATGCCTGAGAACATTACTGCTTAGGAGCTGAGCTCTGCAACTGCATTACTAGCATAAGTAGGTAACCAGTTATAAAACGTGTTTGTCGGGCCGGGGGGTGGTAGCGCAGCCTTTAATCCCAGCACTCGGGAGGCAGAGCCAGGCAGATCTCTGTGAGTTCAAGGCCAGCCTGGGCTACCAAGTGAGTTCCAGGAAAAGGCGCAAAGCTACACAAGAGAAACCCTGTCTCGAAAAACCAAAAAAAAGGTGTCTGTCAAAGTACCAGTGTGGAAATCTCTACTCATCACAAACTTCACTAGTCTGTCAGGCATGGTAGCATAGGCTTCTAATCCCAGCACTCAAAACGGGAACAGGCAGATCTCTTCGTTTGAGGCCAGCCTGGGATATAGTTTCTCAAAAACAAAACACAAAATTAAGCTGAAATTATCAGTCTTTTGTACAAAGTTGGAAAGTATTTTCTTCCTTTTTATTTTTCATAGATGTTTCAAGACAGGGTCTCACTATGTACCTCTGGCTGTCCTAGAATTCTGTAGACCAAGGCTGGCCTCAAACTCAAGACAGATTCATCTACCTATCTTTGTCTCTCAAGTGCTGGGATTAAAGGTGTTCAAACTAAGCCAGGCTGGAAAGTATTTTCTAATTACAAGTGCACCTCAAAAGTTATATTCATCATAGTATCTAAATATTTCTCCTTGACTCAAAATAAATCGACAGGTAGTAAACAAAAATTACACATTTGTCCAGATCCTCTGGGAAGTGTGGGCATTATTAATACCAGAGACTGCAGATAAAATACAAGGGGCCAGGCGGCGGCGGTGGCCCACGCCTTTAATTCCAGCACTCCAGGAGGCAGAGGCAGGCGGATATCTGTGAGTTTGAGGCCAGCCTGATCTACAAAGCCAATTCCAAGACAGCCATGGGGGTTACACAGAGAAACTCTAAAAAAAAAGTTTCACGGAGACTCAGATTAAAGAATTGGAGACCTGAATGATGGTGAGAAGCACATGAGTGGAAACAAAAAAAACAAAAAAAAAAAAACAAAAAAAAAAAAAATGAATCCATTTTTTATTAAGCTTTTCATTAATGACAATTATCCCTCAAATATCAGACATACAACAGGCCTCTACCCACTGTGTCCATAGAAGCAAAACACTTTGTCATGTAGCTCTCAAAAACTTCCTCTGTGGCAATAGAAATAGAGATGTGTGTCCCTGGAAACAGGTGGTGGAGGTAAGTCTATTTTTCTTGGATGCTCTCCATTACAGTAATAGGTAGGTAGCCATTTCACTCTAAAATTTTAAATATTCTCCTTTAAAAGTTTTCAAAAACTAAAACCTCCGTCCCTAAGTCCTTCAAAATATCGGGAAGTGTGAAACGTACCGAAAAAAGCAAGAAAGATGCCAAATCGAGGGGCACCAAAAAAAAAAAAAAAAAACCACATGCTTTCGTTAAGGTGATGTACTAAATAAATGCCTCTTTTATAAGAGTCATTGTAGATAAAATATGCACCCTCACAACTCACTCCTAGAACAAAACATCTCTTTCCGAGAGTCTGTCCATTTAGGGGCTCCAGGCTGGGGTCCATGAATTTAACCTGCAGACTCCCGCGCTCTCCTTTGGAGTCCAGTCTCTGCCTCTAGAAGGCCGGCCTATCGCGCGCTTGCGGCTCATTGGCTCGGAGAGACGCAACTCAGGAAGGAAAAGCCCGCCTCCCACATTCCGATGGCCCAAGGGCCGATCGGCAGGCGGCTGTAGGAGGACCCAATTGGCCTATATCCTCGCCAGTCAAACGCTTTGGTAGCGCAGCTCAAAAGAACCTGCAAGGATTAAAACATCCCGCCCCCAGTCCTCCTATTGGCTGGCCCGACCCATCGCGGCCCCTCCACTGTCGTTCCCCCCCAGTCCAGCGGTCCATTCATTTCGTACAATAACGAGTCCAATTGGAGCGGGTCCAAGATCTCGTACGGGTAGTCTAGACTCTCTGCCACTTACCCGGGATCTACAGTGATCACTCACACTAAGGCCTGCACGGTTCTTCTGTGGCAAAGCTGCACCACAAGCCACCGCTACCGCCGCCTTCTGCGCAACGCCAACCGCCCGCCAAAACGGATCCTTCCCTGCGCCTGCGCAACCAATCCCGGGCCCAGACCTTTTTCTCCGCCCTAAACGCCTGCGCAAAACAGGACGCAGCTCCCGCCACTACGCAGGCGCCTTAGGTTCACAACCCTCTCCTGCCCGCCATTTCACGTGTTCCAGGAGGCAAGCGGAACTTCTTAGTGCGCCGGCGTAAACTCGCCATTTTTTTATTACACATGCGCTCTTATGGGTGGTGGCTGAAAAAAGTGGTACGAACTACTTTTCTAACGTATCGTGTTTTGCCAAGTGAGTTTGTAATGTTCGGCGCTGGAAAGTTATAAAAAGCGTTTAAAGACATGGTTACATTCAAATACAAAAAACCCGATTATCTAGCCAATCAATCTGCTTAAAAATAACAGATCTTGGGGCATCAATGACTCCAAGGGGCGGAGACTGCGTAGAACGCCCAAACAGATGATGTCTCTTAGCAGGGCGGTTCCACAGGCCAATAGTGGGTGGAAACAATTTCAAATCTCCAATCAGAGTAAAGCAAGGGCGGAGTCTGCCAATGCCGAAAGCGAGGGGGCGGGATAAAAAGGCGAGCGGAGGGTAGGCTGGCGGGTACGGTCGTTGGCTTACTCCTTTCTGCCTGTTGACGCGCCCGAGGAAGCATCGCTGAAGGCTCTCGTTTCCCTGCCGTCATGTCTAAGTCAGAGGTGAGTTGGGCGCACTCTGCAGCTTCATTTTCTTTCATGCTTAAAGAATATGGCGGGATTTGACCTAATTTTGTTGTTGGCACCCGTGCTTTCGGCGTTTGATCGGTCTTTGCCGAGGCCTACTCACAAAGTGCAGGTCGCCATTTTGTCCTCACAGTCGCCATGAGGCTGCCCTCCGCTACCTACTAATTTCCACGCACGGCGCCTTGTGGCAGAACTCAGAGACATACAATTTTGAGTGTTGTGACTTTTTTTTTCCTTTTTTGGCTTTGTCTAATAAATGTTTTTAGGAGCCATTAAGTGTTAATGGCGATTGACCAGTCCAGCCCATGTCTTTTGTTGCGCGTGCGTATAGAGTAGAGGAGGGACGCATGCGCTGCCTGCTAGTCCCCCAACAGCACCTCCTGGCCCAGGGAGGAGCACGTGGTCTTGCGCAGTGATAAAGAACAATAAAAGAAAAAAAAGTGCGGCCTGTGTTGATGCGTGGAGTAGCTTCATTCTTCCAAGTTCCATCCCCTTCGCTAACCGATCATTTCTCGTTTAGTCTCCCAAAGAGCCGGAACAGCTGCGGAAGCTCTTCATTGGAGGGCTGAGCTTCGAAACGACCGACGAGAGCCTGAGGAGCCATTTTGAGCAATGGGGAACACTCACGGACTGCGTGGTAAGATTGGAAGGAACGGAAACCAGAACTGCTTTAATTTTATTGGTTTAATCTTGTTGCATTTCTTAGCCAGATGCTTTGTAAAGGTAATTAATGGTATAGTTTAAAAAATAGTTTTGGGGCTTTGTATATATGAGTCTGGACTTGTTCGGAGTAGGAATGGCGACAGGTCCTGAGATCAGGCAATATGTTGATTGAATTAACTCTAAACAGGTAATGAGAGATCCAAACACCAAGCGATCCAGGGGCTTTGGGTTCGTCACATACGCCACTGTGGAGGAAGTGGATGCTGCTATGAATGCAAGACCACACAAGGTGGATGGAAGAGTTGTGGAACCTAAGAGAGCCGTGTCGAGAGAAGTGAGTGGTTTTTTTATTAATAGTTGGGTTCTGGTCATCTGGAGACGTATAATCCAGGCAGTCCTCAAAGCAGAGAGATTAGATTCCCCACCCTTGAGTGCTGGGATTAAAGGCGTGGGCCGCCACAGCTGCCTATCATTTGGAAAGTTGCTGCTGGTAATGAAGTAAGACATTGGAGTGTTCTAAATGACTGAAGTGGTTTTTCCTCTTAGGATTCTCAGAGACCGGGTGCCCACTTAACTGTGAAAAAGATCTTTGTTGGTGGTATTAAAGAAGACACTGAAGAACATCACCTGCGAGATTATTTTGAGCAGTATGGAAAGATTGAAGTGATTGAGATCATGACTGACAGAGGCAGTGGAAAAAAGAGAGGGTTTGCTTTTGTCACTTTTGATGACCACGACTCTGTGGACAAGATTGTTAGTAAGTGCTGTTAGATTTCCTAATGACTGTGGAACTCAAGTGGTTTTAAACCCTAAAATTTTAACTTTTTTCTTAAAGTTCAGAAATACCATACTGTGAATGGCCACAACTGTGAAGTCAGAAAAGCCCTGTCAAAGCAGGAGATGGCTAGTGCTTCGTCCAGCCAAAGAGGTATTTCTGTTGCTTACTTAGACTTCATAGAGGCTAGTTTGAATTTTTGAAAGTTGTTCTAATGTAATGATCCAAACATCTCTTAAGGTCGAAGTGGTTCCGGAAACTTTGGTGGTGGTCGTGGAGGCGGTTTTGGTGGCAATGACAATTTTGGTCGAGGGGGGAACTTCAGTGGTCGTGGTATGTATTTATTTTGGATTTCTTACTTCCTTTGGAACTCAGGGTAACTGTAGGCCCGTGTTTCCAGGATTTAGGTCTCACCCAAATGTAGTTCTCATTACACAACAGTTAGCATTTGTCTTTTGTTTGTTTGTTTGTTTGTTTTGTTTTTCAAGACAGGGTTTCTCTGTGTAGTTTTGAGCCTTTCCTGGAACTCACTTTGTAGACCAGGCTGGCCTTGAACTCACAGAGATCTACCTACCTCTGCCTCCCGAGTGCTGGGATTAAAGGCGTGAGCCACCACCGCCCAGCACAGTTAGCATTTGATTCATTCACTTAGAGCCTGGTTTAAAGCCTTTGTTTCTTTTAGGTGGCTTCGGTGGCAGCCGTGGTGGTGGTGGATATGGTGGCAGTGGGGATGGCTATAATGGATTTGGTAATGATGGTAAGTTTCTTCTTAAGGAGTACGTAAGTATAAAGTTTTCTGGCAACCTGTGCCTTTAGACTAGGCTAGTAGTAGAGACTAAACCTAGTGCATGACAGAGTTCAACCAGCCCCATAATACGCATGCTGTGAGCAGGACTAGCCATTATGCTTAGATTTTTATTGTTAAATACTTTTGTCTTATTGAGAAGGCTTGTATTCTTGTAGGTGGTTATGGAGGAGGCGGCCCTGGTTACTCTGGAGGAAGCAGAGGCTATGGAAGTGGTGGACAGGGTTATGGAAACCAGGGCAGTGGCTATGGCGGGAGTGGCAGCTATGACAGCTATAACAACGGAGGAGGCGGAGGCGGCTTTGGCGGTGGTAGTGGTAGGTATCCAGTGATGCAAGTACTTGCTGTGGTAGCTAGATTAGCTGTAGAGTTTTACACCCGTGTTGGGGTTTGCAGCTCTTAAAGCATTGTGGGTACACTGCATGGTACATTAAATAGGCTTGCTGTGCTACCTCCTCCTGGCTTTAAGCTGGGGCCGCCTCCCCAAAAAATAAGTAGGTGGATGAGTGGTTAGTGGTGTCTTCAATTTAAGATAATTAGATTAACACCATAGCTGGATTTAGTATCTAAATTTCTTTGGGATTTCATTTAGTTGATATATCCAAGAGATCTCTGCATTGGCCATGAATATAGAAGGCCTGCACGTCTAAAGTGCTTGTGAGTACCACTAAGGAGAAAACTGTTTGTCATTAGTGAGGTTGACTTTTTTTTTTCCCTGTAAATACTGGATTAACTGAATGCCTTACTAGAGAATGAACTATAAGGGTTTGGAGTTAGCAGTTTTGGAAGGAGAGTAGTACTCTTTCAGAACACTAAATAGAATGGGCTCAGTCCTCAGGTCATCAATAAAGGCCTTCTTTCCATTTCTAGGAAGTAATTTTGGAGGTGGTGGAAGCTACAATGATTTTGGCAATTATAACAATCAGTCTTCAAATTTTGGACCAATGAAGGGAGGAAACTTTGGAGGCAGAAGTTCTGGCCCTTATGGTGGTGGTGGCCAGTACTTCGCTAAACCACGAAACCAAGGTATAGTATATGTAATGAATATGGCACAAGTCTGATAATAAAATCGCATCCTCCCGTCCATCTTGTAAACTTTATTACATCATAGGTGCGGGACACATAACCGATCACGAATGAGTTTCTCTTACTGTAAAATCATTGCTATCACATAAACACAGTATTGAAACATTATTTGAATGCTTCCAGGTGGCTATGGTGGTTCCAGCAGCAGCAGCAGCTATGGCAGTGGCAGGAGGTTCTAATTACAGCCAGGTAAGTACCTGTTTTGTTTTTTGTGTTGACTAAATTTTATAATTGAACCCAGTAACCCTAATATAGCTGAGCAGTGCAATATAGTTAACATTATAATTGCAGTAAAATGGTGGATGTTAAGTTAATATACAGTTCAGCAAAATTTGTGGGAAACAACTTGCTCTATTGGATTGTAGCCTTGAGTCTTAATGTGTTTTAGATTAACAACTTTATTCCATATTGTTCAACAGGAAACAAAGCTTAGCAGGAGAGGAGAGCCAGAGAAGTGACAGGGAAGCTACAGGTTACAGCAGATTTGTGAACTCAGCCAAGCACAGTGGTGGCAGGGCCTAGCTGCTACAAAGAAGACATGTTTTAGACAATACTCATGTGTATGGGCAAAAAACTCCAGGACTGTATTTGTGACTAATTGTATAACAGGTTATTTTAGTTTCTGTTCTGTGGAAAGTGTAAAGCATTCCAACAAAGGGTTTTACTGTAGACCTTTTTTCACCCATGCTGTTGATTGCTAAATGTAATAGTCTGATCATGACGCTGAATAAATGTGTCTTTTTTTTCTTTTTTTTTTCTTTTTTTCTTTTTTTTTTCTTTTTAAATGTGCTGTGTAAAGTTAGTCTACTCTGAAGCCATCTTGGTAAACCTCCCCAACAGTGTGAAGTTAGAATTCCTTCAGGGTGGTGCCAAGTTCCATTTGGAATTTATTTATAATTGCTTGGATGGAGAAGGCATTGTCTTCAAAAACCTTGGTGTAGTTAAACTGCCAGTTACTGTTGTGACTTTAATGAGTTTTACCATTGAAAGGGTCATCCAAGCAAAGTCACAGTTTGGTTACAATAAAATGGTTGTGGGCACACCCTATGCAACATCAAAATTGAATAATGGTATCAGATAAAATAACAGATGGGAATGAAGCTTGTGTATCATCCATTATCATGTGTAATCAATAAACGATTTAATTCTCTTGAATGGATTGACAACTGTATGGATTTGGGACTGGCAGAGATTTGGACTTTCCCTACCCACTACCCCTGGTAAATGTTGATTGTTTGTTATCACAGTGCAAGTTCAGAGCTCTGCCAGAGTAGAGACCAACTGCTGGTTTATGCCACCCATAAGTCCACAGATTAGAAGTGTTGGGGCATCTTAAAACTGGTTATATATAGTAGGGACTCTTAATTGCTATAAGAGCAGGCTATAGTGAAGGAAAACTGCAGTTTAACAGGGTCATGGGTGGGTGTGCCTCGGGGTTTTCTAGAAGTAATTGAGTTAATTAAAAATTCAAATTAGAAATACAATTGACAATATTTCTGTAACTTCGTATTAACAGCAGTTTTCCTTCACACTGTTATCCTGAAGTGTTTTCTATTTGTATAGAAAATGAATTCAAAATAGTTACTATCCAATAATTGTTATTTGTGCATAGATGCTTTTGAGCTTCCCATTTGGTTCCCTTTTTAAGTGCCATTGTACCTGGTAGCATAGATGATTTGTTTGCCATAGGACTTGTATATTCCATCTCATGGTGTATTGCTTGGAAGTTTTGGTGGGGGGGAGGGAGGGGGGGTGGAGGGAGGGGGTGGGGAGCATGGATGGTAGTTCCATGATACTGGCTGAGTTTGCAATAGCAGGTGGAACCTTAACTATTGAGGGAGTTTGCAGATACCTCAGGAATCGGGACAATGCCTTTAAAGATCCAGGAGATGTTCAGCTACTAGGAACTGCTAGCAAGTATAGCGCGAATGGCTTCGAGCTCAGAAACTCTGCAGCTGAGAGTAGACACTTGTGGTATGTGGAGTACAGATAAGCCAGGGGCAGGCCACGGCACCTCCATGAAAGCTAGGAGGGAGTGAAGTTTGAGTGACCATCGCAAGAAAGGAGGCAGACAAGAGTAAGGCACACTCCTGACTCTTAGGACTAGCAGGCAGAACCAGAAGGAAAGGTTTTATTGCTATGCTAGTAGGTAAGAACAGATTTTACTTACATCCATATAGTTGTAAAGTCCAATTCTCTGTTGGATTTTTTCTTAATATATTGAGCCAAAACTAGTCCAGTTAAGCTGCACTTGGTTTTTCTGGAGATAAATTGTTTTAATTAATGCCCATATTATTCCTACTTGAAGGAAGTTAACACATTTCTATTGTGAAGATACATTTTGCCCTTTAATTTTACATAACCTTCCTTTGACCCATTTTCTTAAAGCAATGGCTCAAAGTAATATATTAGACACCTTTCCCCAAAATGGTGGGAGGATGGGTGGATCATTAACGGGAGGAGGGTGGGAATAGCTTAAAAGATGGGAATTAACCTCACAAAAGACTAGTTCTAAAGGTTGTTTACTTTTCTAGGGAGGAATCTGCTACAAGGCTTAACCACTGTTGTAAAATTTAAAACAAAAACTTCAAGTTCTTGGCTAAAAGGTAAGTTTTTATGGTTGGTGATTTGCTATATAAAAGTTAAAAGGCAAGCTGCAATTAAAAACCAAGAGATACCTGGCTATTTTTGTAGCAGGCAGTTATTAGGACAACAGAACGTGTAACCAGGGGTGGGTAGATAAAATTGTATAATCCGGCCGGGCGGTGGTGGCGCACGCCTTTAATCCCAGCACTCGGGAGGCAGAGCCAGGAGGATCTGTTTGAGGCCAGCCTGGGCTACCAAGTGAGTTCCAGGACAGGCGCAAAGCTACACAGAGAAACCCTGTCTCGAAAAACCAAAAAAAAAATAAAAATAAAAATAAATTGTATAATCCATTACTGTTTATATAAAGCTACATGACTTTTTTCTCCTTTGCAGGAACATCCTTATGAGAGCAGCCTTTATTCTGGGCCACTGTACTTCATTTTCACTGCCATGCAGTTGGGTTTTAACATGCTGCTAAAATCATTCAGTTTTATGAATGGCTTGGTTTGGTTTTTTTAAAATAAACTACAGTTAATTAACTTCTGTTGTCTCTTTCTGGGATTTATGTCAGGTGACTTGGTTCTGTATTTTATGCAAATTCCAAATTTGAGTTTGGGGAATATGGGACTTTTTAGCACACAAGTCTGAGTCATTTCTAACTGGAGTTTCTTTGACCCTTAAGTTATATGTTGGATGCATGTGTATTGATGCATTGTGAGTAAACTGGTCATAGAATGTCCCTGAGAACCTGGCAAGGATAAACTGACCATCTCTATGGGGTAGGTGTGAGGTGCAAACCTGTTGCATGTTTGGGTTCTGATGTAAGAAACCTAAAACTTGATGGGGAATTTAGAGATAGTTAGTTGTGAGGTTTAAGTGTTCCAGAGATGACAGAACTGGGTAGTGCACACTAATCCCAGTTTAGGAATGTCCAGCCCAGATGAGGCTATGAGACCCTTATTTTTATTTTCTTGGTGGAGGGCACTTAAATGTGAAGAGTATCCTTGGCTAACCTGAAATCATACATACAGCTAATTAGATATAGATACATGTAAAAATATGGAACAATCCCTTACCTCTTAGTGCTGGGAATATAGGCTTGGGCCACTACACATTCATACTGCTTTTTGTGAGTTTACATAGAAGGAAAACTTGTTAGGCCAAGAGCTGACAAAAATCCCAGATTAGCAAGCACAGTTCAGATCTACAGGCATCAAGATTTCTGTATTTCCCTTATGTCCTTCATCTCTTAGGTCTACCAGTTTTTCTTGTTAAGAAAGTCAGTAAATGGACAGATAAAATGGAGATAAAATGAAATAAAATAAAATGAAAATAAAAGCTATGACTGGCAAAACAGCCAAAGAAATTGGGTGCTGCTAGGGAGATTTGATAGGCAAGAGGATGCTTGGACTTATGAGTTTGAGGTCGACCTAGTTTTCTAAGAAAGTCACTGTATACTTGGCTGTCCTAAAATCTCTTTGCCTTTTCCTCCAGAACACAGTTGTATTTCCAAATAAAAGACAAAGTAGTTCCTGAGCTGGGTTGGCATACAGCATCTCAGCCCTTGTGAGGTAGCAAAATGAAGATTAGGAGCTCAAGGTCATTTTCCACTACACAGGTACAAGGCCAGCCTGTTATGTGGGACCCTGCCTATGTGAGAGTAACAGAGGACAGGGTTTCAGTTCCCAGCACTCTAAACTCCTTCAAAGGAACACCTTTTCTGACCTTCATAGGCTCCTGCATGGTTATGGTACATACATTGATTGAATCATACACAAAATGTTTAAAAAAAGGTGGGGTGGACTGGGTATGGTGGTACTTAACCCCACACTTTGGAGACAGGCAAATGGAACTTTATGAATTGGTGGCTGACATGCCTACATAGTAAGACCCTGTCTCAAATCTAGAAGGGTAGGAATGATAGCCACTCCCACCCCCCAGCATGACTTGGATAGCATTTCTCTCACAACCAGGGAGAGCTGGGTTGTAGCCCCATCGCTTGCTTAGCATTCTAGAGGCTCTAGGCTCAGTTTAAAAAGTTGTATAAGAGTACACACTTGAATGTAGAGTAATCTCATTCCAGTCAAGAACAGTCCCTTGGTCTTCCGATCTTGGGCCTATCAGACCCAGGGTGAGGTAAGCAGGAGGGAACTAAAGGCGTTAGTGTTCATGTGTGCTCTAGAGACTGAGCAGACTTTACACGAGGATGCAGCCCTCTCACAGTTCCTGTCATTTATGAATTGGCCACCAAGGACGGTGGGGTTCCTCAAGCATCTGTGGCTTCTGACTGGACGGGGGTGTGAAGGTGGATAGATTGTCACATTGCTCATTCCCCAATTTTTATGTGTACTTAAAATGAGCTCAGGATTTCCCTTCAGCAAGCAGTGATTTCTGAGATAGCTCCATCACCCTCAAGAAGGAAGACACAATGGAAAGCTTATTTCCACACAGCTCTTTATGGACCAAAGCTTAGACAAGAGGTGGAGGCTTGGGGCCTGGGAAGCCAGCACTCACCTGGCCTCCAGGTGAACCTCACTGAACACACCTTGCAAGGACCAAATGCTAAGGTGGCATCTACCTTCTTTTGGTCTGGAGAACTCGGTGCCTTGTGAGTCCTGGGGTTGGGGAGTACCTTTATCAGAAGAGAATGAGGGGAGGCCCTAGCACCACATTGTTAGTCTCTAGGCCAGCTCACTCCGTGGCCTCCATCTTGGTCCCACGGGGTACCAGAAAGATGGCCCCATCAGCAGCCTGTTGCAGTACATATTCCTCTGGTGAATAACTGTTGCCAGATTCATCCCGAAGATGCTGGAAAATGTCATGGTACAGCTCTGCCAGCTGTTGGCGCATGACCTCCAGAGTGCGGTCCGCTTCCCCTCGGACTCTGAGAAGCCGCTCTCTTTCACTGCCCAGGCGCTCCAGCTCCTGCTCCAGCTGTACAATAGTTTCCAGTTTTCTCTTGCGACAATTCTGGGCTGCCACCTTGTTCTTGCCCCGCCGTCGGATGTCCCGGACTAGAGCCAGCTGGCTCTCTGTTAGAGGGTACTGCGCCAGCAACTCATTAAAGTCATCCACAGGCAAGTTGACGATCTTGTCCGTAGGGAAGGGAATCTTCATGGCTAGGGCCCGCCGCTCATCACGACTCCCCGCCTCCCCCCTGACAGCAGGTTTAGCCCGCACAGGGCCAGAGGATGACTCTAAGGCCAAGGGTGTCTCAGTGGGCGGCAAAGTATAGTTGGGGTGGGCCAAGGAGTTGGGCATATGGGAGTAAGGGTACTCCACAGGGTACATGTCCACATACTCGCTCCTCCGCCTGCCAGCCTCTGCACCCTCTAGCTCAAGAGATTCCGCATCGCTGTAATTGAGGGATAATCCTGAGTCGGATTCTGGGTCTTCTTGGGGCTTGGGTGGCCCCACTGGCAGCCCAATGTCCAGAAGAGCTAAGGGATCTGGGAGGGGCTCATTGAGCAGGCCTGAAAGGGTGAGTGGCTTTGACGCTGGTATAGCCATGTTGCCATAGGAGTATGGGAGGTCTGGGACATGAGGAGTAGGTGCTGAGAGCTCATAAGGTGGTAGGGGCAGGGAGAAGCCTGCGTCTGAGTGAACTGAACAGGGGCAGTATGTTGGAGGTGGCAATGGTCCAGGGTATGGGGTGGGAACTTGGGGCTCAAAGGATGGCTCACTCGGAACATTTAGACCCTGCAAAGAAAGACAAAAAAGGTTAGAAGATAATCATAGGTGGTAGTGGCACATGCCTTTAATCCCAGCTCTCAGGAGGCAGAGGCAGGCCAATATCCCAAGTTCCAGGATAGCATGGTCAAAAAGCAAGTTCTGGAACAGCAAGGACTACACAGAGTAACCCTGTCTTGAAAAACAAAAAACAGTGGAAGCTTCTTGCATAGTGTTAATGAAGTTGTTTCAAGAATAAAGCAGCTTGCTGGCATGGTGGCACCGGCTTACAATACCAGCATTTGAGATGTGGAAATGGGAGAGTCAGGAGTTTAAGGTCAGTCTTGGCTACATAGCAAGTACAAGGCCAGCCAGGGCTGTGTAAGACCCTGTTTCAAAAAAAATCAAGAGAGGCGCTGAAGAGTTGGCTCAGCGGTTAAGAGCACTGGCTGCTCTTCCAGAAGACCTGGGTTGAATTCCTAGTACCCACATGGCAGCTCACGTCTGTCTGTAACCCCAGTTTCAGGGGATCCAACACCTTCACACCGACATACATGCATGCAAAAACAGGAATGTACATGAAATAAATAAAATCAAGAGGCCCTTAATCCAAGCACATAGGGGACAGGGGCAGGTGTATCTCTCTGAGTTCAAGGCCATCCTGGTATACATAGCAAACTCCAGGGCTACATAGTGAGTCCCTGTCTGGGAAAAAGAAAGAAAGAAACTGGGCATGGTAGCACACATCTTTAATCATAGCACTCGGGAGACAGAGGGAGCCAAGATCTCTGAGTTTAAGGCCACCCTGCTCTGCAGAGTGAGTTCCAGGACAGCCAGGGGTACACAGAGAAACCCTGTCTCAAAAAAACAAAAACAAACAAACAAAAAACAACAACAGAAAAACAACAACAAAAAAAAAGAAAAGAAAAGAAAAAGTAGGGAGGAGGAAGAAGAGCAGTTTAAGCAGGAATAAGTCCCTGTGGTGAGACCTCAGAGAACCTCACATTGAAGTGGTTACAGTCTCCTCCTCAGGAGAAGCTCTTACTGGGCCAAATAGCTCCTGTTCCTTTTCTCTCTTTAGGAAGACAAGGCTATTATTATCCTAGATGGATCCTCAGAACCCTTTTCCTGCTGTGGTTATCTAGGGTCAAAAGGTCAAGTTCAGGACCTCGCCATTCCCTGGGTGCCCAGCAGAGGGAGCTGGTATGTGGGAAGAGGGTCTAGGGCAGATCCTGAGGACACCAGGAGGCCTGAGGTGGGGTAGGCACAGAGCCCAGGCTGGGGGCTAGCCCTCTGTCCAGGCCCAGGTGCAGTGAAGAGGAGAACACATGTTACAAACAAGGCCCCCAACTTAGGTAGGAGAGCTATCCTGCTCAAGCCCAGCTGGGGACAAAGGTGCCATTGTTAGACCAACAGACACCCCTTTGTCCAACATTCAGGAGGAGAGGACCCCGGCAGAGTCTCGCTCCCCTCTCTCTCTGAGGCCCTTTAACTAAGTCTCTGCTACCTGGAGGAAAGGAGCTCGTTGCTAAGGGTGCGGGGTGGTAATGAGGGAAGATGGGCAGTGCTGGAAGAGAGGAAGATCAGATGAGAAGAAAATAAAAAAAGAGGGGCAGAGAAGAGGGTGGTAGAAATGTGAGCAGAGCAGCTGGACAGGAGCCCACACTGCAAGCCAGATCCTCCCCTCCCCCCTGCCCTGCCCCCACTCCTTGTTCCACATTGCCCCCCTCTGCTCTCTGTTTCTGGCCAGGCCAGAGCCCCTACCTCTTCAGTGTCTACCCCATACTCACCTGCAGCTCAGTAATGGACATGATCTCTTGCCAAGTCAATTCCATCTCGCCCAGCTCCCCAATAGGCAGCTGTGACAACCTGTTCCTGTTCTGCTGAGGAGGACACGGGGGCATCCTACTGTGCCAGCTGCTGGCCCTGGTTCCCCCAAAGCTCAAAGGGCTCCAGCAACCTGTGTGGAAGGAAGGAAGAGTTAGAGCTACTTCTGCCAAATCAAAAGTTTATCCTGTCCCTGTGCAGAATCCCCAGAAGAAAGGAACGGTGTCAGTGGTTCACTCATGCCAGGACCATCAACCACCCTAGGAACTGCAAAGTTCTTTTCTGTGGAGTACTCTCTACCTCACCTGCTCTGGCCATAGTCAGTCCTCTGGGCACACAGTAGGCATCTTTACTTTTTCTCAGACAAGATGTCTTCTCTTACTCTCTAAAAATGGTATTCCTGTCAGTGGCAAAATCCAGTCTTCTGAGTTTTTGAGATTGAGGTTTTGTTTTCCATTCTGGGGGAAACATCAAGAGTCACCCATGTCTTCCTCTTGGGTCCTCAGTTTCGTTGTTTGAAACAGGGTCTTACTATGTAACCCTGGCTGTCCTGAAACTTGCTCTGTAGTCCAGGCTAGCCTCTAACTCACAGGGATCTGCCTGCCTCTGCCTCCCAAGTGCTGGAATCAGAGGTGTGTGCCACCATGCCTAGCATTTCAGCCCTTTCCTTTCCTCCCAAGATGTGAGTGCTTGGCGATCCCCAGGGAGTGTGTTGTGGGAAGTGCAGGCAGACAGCCCCTCCCCTGTCTTAGATAGGGTCCAGGCCTGCTGGTGATAGCAGCCCTGCCCTCTACTCCCATCCTTACTCTGGGCTCCCCTGCCTGGGCCAGATAAGAGTTTTATCAGCTGCAGGCAGCAGAGGCAGAGAAGGAATGGGCTCCAGGAGACACTGGACCTCTACCCTGTATCCCAACCAGGTCATTTGGCTATGCCCCACCCCACATGACCATGGCTCCTTTCTCTTCCAAGGTCAACACACAGCAAAGACTTAGCAAGCATTTGTCAAGAATTGTGCTGGCATTTTATAAGCATAGCATATCAGACTGGGCTTCACAAAGACCTTTTAAGGGGTAGGAGGCAGACACTGAGGCCCAAGCTGATAAGTGGCAGGTTGGAACCTGATCATATCCCTTGCTGCTTTCTAGGCCCCTTTGGTTCCCTAGGTATGGGCTGTCCACAACCCACACCTCTATAGGCAGTCTACCTTAGCAAGTTCCCATGATGTCTCAAACCCTTTTTTCTTCTGGGAAATATCTTTTGGGGCCCTCAAGTACTGCCAATCCTTCAGCCCCTCTTCTTTTAATCTGGGCTCTAGCTTGAGTTCTGCCACAAAGCAGCAGTCTGGTAGCTGGGCAAGCCATCTCACTGCTCCTGGTCAGTTCTCCCAGTTGTAAAGCCAAGGAGTTAGACAACTTGAACTGGAAGAATTCCTTGCTGCTTGGACAGTTCTCTGCAAACTCTTAGCCTTACTTTCATTATCTCCTCTTGGTCCATCCCTCTCTTCATCCTACCTCCGTATTCCCCATAACCATCTCTATCTGAATCGGCTCTCTCTGTGTCTAACAAAAGATTCCAAGTAGACTTGGCAAAGTTCTCCTGATCTCTCAGGGCCAGACACAGCACAGCATGTACATGCATGCACATCCACACTACACACCATATAAATAAAGGAAACTTTACAAAAGAACAGAGGATGGGGCTGGATGACCTAAAATTGTATTGTATGACTTTACATCACCCACCAGAAGAATAGCCCATTCCTGCTATTCATTATGGAATCCTCTCTTGGACCTACCACAAAATGTATAGTCACTACCTTTTTTGGGGGTAGGGGGGTTTCGAGGCAGGGTTTCTCTGTGAAACAGTCCTGGCTGTCCTGGAACTCACTCTGCAGACCAGGCTGGCCTCAAACTCATAGATCTGCCTGCCTCTGCCTCCTGAGTGCTGGGATTAAAGGCGTGCACCACCACCACCACCACCACCTGGCTCCAAGTGTCCTTTTTTCAGCTGGTCTGCCTGAGGCCTAGCCTCCATCCTTCCTGCTATACTGCCATCCCCAGAAATGGGAGTTGGTATAGGTACAGGCCTTTGACCAATGGGTAGAATGGGTGGGGTGTTTATGTCTGTCCAGGATGCCATTTCAACACCGGAACTCCACCCTCCCCACCCAGGTTCTGGCGGAAATTGCCCAAAGACAGAGTGAATGGAGAAGGAGTTTGGGGGTGGGCAGGGACTATGACTGTTGCCTCATAGTTCTTCACCCACTTTACCTCTCTTTGTTTTTCCTCTCTTCCTGGGTCTGAATCTGAGGAGCAATCCAAAGATCTTGCCCTAGAAGGCAAGGTTCTCTACTCTTCAAGATGCATGACCTTGAACAAATTGCATCATAGTCTCCAATTAAATGAAGACAGGACTAGAGGACCTCACTGCTATGAGAGGGAGCAGACTGCATCTAGTCAGAACCACAAATTTTACTGTGCACCATATTCACTTGGGATATATGGAAAACATACCTGAAGGTCATCCAGGCCTGCTGAACTGAATTCATGTGCAGGTACTAAGAACAAGTATTTCAACAAATGTCCTAGACATTTTCACACACAGGCCAATCTTGCCTCAAGAAACACAAATAGATGAATCTTCAAGAAAGACCACAAAGAAAGGGAATAGCAAATGTTCTATAGTCTTCATCTAACTGCGAAACTTTGACCCCAGGCAAGGCTAGACTCCAGGTGGTGCCTAGCTATCAGTCCTTTCCCATGAAGACCTGGAAGTGGGTCTCCTCCCTCTTCTTAGGATTTAAAAAAAAAAAATTGAGAGGGTAGAGGGGGCAGGAAGAGGCTGGAGGCTGGGCAGAGGTTCATAAAGGAAACCACTGGACCATCTTTTGCACCAGGCATAGGCCCTTTGGGTCTTGGGAGCCTGCCTTTCAGAGGACCAGCAAGCTTGCAGCCCATAGGACAGACGAGGAGCCAGACATGTTCAGATAGAACACCAAAGAGAGTACTGAAAAGAGACAGGGAAGTGAGCTAGGCTTCCAGGGGCCCTTGTCTTCAGCAAAAGCAGCTCTTGTTTTACAGTTTAGCCCTCATCTTCAGTCATATAATCACTGAATCCACTGGGCTAGTTATTCTCTTTAGTGCTAAGCACTGTGAATCAGGTAGAATTTGAACCAACTGCAGAAACTAACCTCCATCCTTCCATCCTTCCTTCCCCTTTCATCCTGGTGGTCCTACCCACTTTTTTCTTCCTCCTCCCTTCCCTCTCTCTCCCTCCCCTCCTGCTTCCCTCCCTCCTGGCCTCTCTCCAGACCAACCCAGAGCCTTGAACATGCCAGGCCAGCACTCTACCACTGAGCTACATCCCTAAAATTCTCCAAAGGTCTTCTCATGATCCCTAGGACTTTATAGAATATGAAGCTTTCTGACTAAGGATACAGGATCATTTGGAGAGGTGAGAGAGGAAGACATTTTACCTTCCATGGCTAACCTGGAACTTTTCACTTCTTTGATAGGGAGCTTGCCCCAGGGTGCTTTATGGAGGCTTATTAGGTAACTCCACCTCTCCTAGTGTCAACACAAACAATGGAAGGATTGGGGAGACATGAGTAAAACTTGGTGTGTAGATTAGCAGGTAAGCAACCTAGTTACAAAGATCAGGGAAATCTTCCCAGGAGGGAGAGGCACAGAGAGGTGAAATCGAGAAACCAATAGAATGAAGAAGGAAGAGAAAAAGATTTGAGCCAGGAAAGCTCAGTCCCCTGGGAGCACACTTGGGAAGGTTTGGGAACAAGGAAAAGGGAACAAGTTTCTGCTCTCCTGTGATTTTATCCCTAGAACCCAAACTCTGGTTCTTTGGAAGCAATAAATGGAGGCTGCATCCAGCAGATCTGGTAGCTCTCTTTCTCTCCCACAGCATCTCAACCTCCAGCTACAAGCAACCAAGAAGTCCCACAGAAGCATCTACACTTTGTTAGACACCCTCCTCTTTACAGATCCAGCTTAGCTCCACTGCCCCAGGACTGGAGAGGAAGAGAAGCAAGAACAGCTCCTCTCGGCCAACCACCCCACCTTTGCTGTAGCAAGGCTTCTCCGAAATTCAGATATCCAATATCTATCTACAGTTCCTAAGCTTCGCCCAAATCTCAAATGGCTGGAGCTGCAGAATGCAGTGGGGAAGGGGACATGGTGGCACCATATTACTGGAGCCTACAAGCTCCTCCAGACAACAGGCCAATAGAAGGGTTCCCCCTGGTTACTCCCCTGCTCCTCCAGGGTGCCCCAAGAAAGCACTGTGTGCTCCCCATTCACAACCTCCCACCCCAAGGATCCCAGAACAGCCAGGAAGCCATCCAAAGTTATCTCCAAAGTATCTCCAAGTAGTATTACTCCAAAGTTATTAGTTTCCTACACCAAGGCCAGTCTTGGAAGATGTCTTAGAAACATCCAGACAGAAAGTTAGGTATTCCTCTCTGTACCTCCTCCACCTGCCCAGCCTGCCCTCCTCAGATGCCACTGAGGGCTCCCTCCCCCTACTCGCCTTTCAGGCACCTGTGGCGGATTCCAAGCCGGGTGAGGAGAGAGATGAGGCTGCTGGTAGTGTCCCTGGGAGGCTGGGTCAGAGCTGACACCTCCGGGGCGCTGAGCGCTGCCTCTGAGCACCGCCAAGGGCCGGGCCCCGCCCCCGAACCATGGCTGGGCAAGGAGCACCGGTTGGCCCGGGTAGAAGCTGTGCACCGGCGGTCTCTCCGAAGCCCTCGGCCGGAGTTACAGTGCTTCCTCCAACCGTTCCCTTTCCCCGTGGCCCTCCTCTCCTCCTGCCCCTTCTGGCCAAGAGAGGAAACTTGAGCCTGGTGTGGTTTCTGCCTGCACCCTGCCCCCGCCTCTCTAAGGCCACGGGGGCACCCGGGGCTCACAAGCTCTCGGCCCTCTCCAGCTGATCCAGGACTGTGCGCTCCCTGTCCTGACTTCCCAGCTGATGCTCCACTCACAAGTGACCCCTAAACTTAAACAGGAGGAGTCAGCAGCCTCCTGCTTTTCCCAGGTGGCGGCTCTTAGGGATAGATAGGGAAACTGAGTCATAGCAAGGCAGAGGGCCGCAGACAGTGAGGATCAGGTGTCTGAGTCCAATTTGCTTAGGGCGACAGCTTCGCTTCTAGAAAGCCTGGGCTCTAAGAGCGTTATTTTGAGGATGAGGGGCCGCCAGCTGCTTAGAGGTCCTCTTTAATGTGTAGCCTTTCTCTCCACCTCCCTCTCCCCAGCCTTAGATGCTCTAAGACAAAGACTTCTTTTGTGGCCACGTTTATTTATTTATTGCCAAAGTGTATGGGGGTGGGAGTTCCTTAGGTGGGAGGCTGTCCTGTTGGGTGATTATTAGTCTCCCTAAAAGAGATCCTTTCTTCCAGGGCAGGACACATGTGTACATTAGATTCGTCCCAGATACACAACAGTTCTGTATCAAACTAGTGTGTCCTCCCAGAAGTCTCTCATCCTTCTGCCTCCAAGTCACAGGCCAAGTAGTTATCTCTAGAAGGAAAGTCTGCCTTCCTTCCAGTGTTAGTAGTTTTCAGTTGTTTTGTGATGGGGTCTTTTGAGATGGTGTAGCCAAGGCCAGCCCAAAAGTGGCTTTGTGGCCAAGAATGACTTTGAGCTCCTAACCGATCTGCCTTCGCCTGTGGAGTGCTGTAGTTGTAGGCATGCTCACTGTGCCCGCTTTAGCAACTTTCAGCTCAAAGGAACACGTCTTTTTGGTTTAACTTCAGTTCTGACTGGCGCAGCTTATACTTTTTCTCTATTATTTTCCTCACTGATATTCAAGTTAATCTGGAAACATTTACAGAGCAGAAGCAAGCTGGGTGTTTGACAAAAGATCTATAACCCTAGAACTCAGGAGGTGGAGGAAACAAGATCAGTAGTTCAAGGCCATCCTTAGCTACATAGTGAGTTCCAGGTCTCTCTCACACACACACACACACACACACACACACACACACACACACACACACACACACACAATAAAATAAGCAGGAAGCAGATGAGTGCTACCTCAAGGCAGAGCTGTCAATTCTATCAGACCTTCCAATAGGATTGTATTAGGATAATGGGAATGTTCTGTCCTGGAGCATGAAAAGCAGCTTCTGGGAACCCTTTAACTTCC